ATCATATACATAATACAAAGGGCATTTCCAGAAGGATTACATGATATAAATAATGTCTGAAATGCCAACTATGAAAACGTTTTCATATTTTCATTTTATGGCCCATGATAGAAGAAAACTTTATTTCCCAGAATGCCACTTCACCAAAAGTCTTTAAAATTAAGCAAATTATCAACATAATAGATTCAAATTTTGCCAGGATTTATTTTAGAAATTTACATGAAAACAATTTGGTGGAAATAAAGAAAATGAATGTTGACATTTTAAATTTTGTTCAAGAAAAAATGTGAGAGCCGATAGAGTTTCTGGAAACTCAGTGAGCTGTCTATGTAAAGCCACTCAACACCATGAAGATATCATTAACATACTGAGCAATTAACAGCATCTCTTGTGGCAAGTAAGGTGCAGAATACAAATCTTTTTCTTTCCATCCTGATGATTTCTGATGCATCAAGCCTGTCTCCCTGCCGTCTTGTGGTCCCCCGATACAGGAAAGCCATTGCCCTCTCATTCCGATTACACAAATATTTGCATTTGGCATTTACAACTGATTTTGGCTGCACTCCCTCTGAGCTATGCAAAGTTTCCCACACGAATCGAAGGTTTTCTGTCTGTAATGACTGAGTAATAAAATTCACCCTTCTGAGAGGATCCAACACTCACAATATTTACATCTTGACATTTCAATCAGCAGAGTTTGATAAGTTGGTATTAAAAGAGGCAGAGGGGAGACCTTACAGAATCTGCCTATGAAAGACAAAATATCACTACAAAATAGATTAAAAATAAATGTGAAAAAAAACCATAGACAAGTATTTATTTATATTAAATAAAATATTTAAAAATGTATACTATTGAATAATAATATTACATATTAATGTGTTAATAAAATTCAAAATCTGTCTATTCATAAATAATTAAATGATAGACGCAGGACAGAGAGATGGAGAAGAAGGAGATAGTGGGTGGTGAGAAAGTGAGAAATGAAGAGAAAGACGTAAAGAAACAAAACTCCCCTTGGACAAACACAAGCTCTCAGACCCCTGACCCAAACTCCTCTCAGACACTGTGAGAGAGAGAGAACAACACCCTCCTTTAAACCTTCAGGGGCCATATTGTGGAATCCCATCATGTTGGGAACACAGAAATGAAATGCCCTGTCACTGCAGATAGTGAGATGCATGATGAGAAAGAATATGGTTGAAAGAGCCGTTTCTCAGCTGAGAGGTCGATCTCTTGGGATGTTTGACATTTTCACATTTTGTGCACACACACACAGTACAGGCTGTTGACCAGCAGCGTCAGCCCCCGTTTTGACCCAGTCAGGATGGATTAATCTGATGTGAGGTAATGTGTGCAGAGATTGAATTGATTGGCTGTTTCGCCCTGTGCTGCCCATCCACTGAAGGACAGAGTCATTTCTTAAAGCAACATAAAGCATGCTCTGTTCTGGAGGATATTCCATTCCAGCACTTTCATGTTTCAACTAGATAAAGGTCATTCCATTCTAACACTTATGTAACATTTGATCATGTTGGTTGGTTCATCTTAGTCCTTTACAACACAGTGGTTCCATTGCTTAGCCTGTTCCTCGTGCTCTACTGTCGGTTAAGGTCTTTTCGGATGCAATTAAATTACACAAAAGAATAACTTTTTTTTCACAACAATTAAGTCCAATTCATAATTTATGTTCAATTAAAAAAAATATATATTTTATTAATTATTTTTTACTTGTTTTCTAGAAAAAAATATAACTGCATAAGATATTAAGTTAACTTGTTTTATGCAACATATCTTAAAGTAAGTTTATCTATTTTGTGCTTCTTTTTTAAAGTAAACACACACAAAAAATGTATTTGCCTTTAGCTAAAGAAACCTTTTCAATGGAGTAGGAACAATAAACTTACTGTACTTTATATTGTTTTGAAACTAATTCTAAATCTTATTATACCCAGTTTTACCCAACCAAGCTAATCTTGTTTTAAGGATGTTTACAAAGCTTTACTGCACTAAAATGAGAAATATATATATATATTCCCCCCAGGTTTCACAGACATGGCTTAAGTCTAGTCCCAGGCATGTTTGAGCTGTTTTAAATGAAAGCAACTTGCCCTGACAAATCTTAAAATATGTCAGTGCCATTGTTTTGTCTCAACACTTGTTAAGGCACGTTTATAAAAGCTACTTAAATGCCCTAATTGAACTAAGGCTTAATCCTGGCTTAATCTAAGCCCTGTCTGTGAAACCGGACCCTAATGTTTTGCTTGTTGTGAATCGGTCTTTACTTGTACAGTAATTTGCGTCTCTCTGAACTTGTCTGTCCTGTATCTCTATTATTAGTTATTAGAGGAAGTGCAGCAGCAGAACTATGATTGATATCATGTTATCCAAAACCTACATTATTGACTAACTGGAACAAACAGCTTGTTTTTTCTTAGAAACTGAAGCCAAAAAACTAAGGCACAACTTGCTTTCATGGCCAATAAATCTGGAACAAGCAAGTGAGATTTGGAATAGAGGGCGGAGATTTAGAGGTTTTATTTTGGGCGCTATTAAAAAAAGCACCCCAAAGCTGCAGTATCGATCTGTGTGCAAGTCCGCATAACTGTCCCTGTACTAAAACTCCCTCCACAAACAGGGATCAGAAGCTTTATACTACCTGACAGTTAGAAGAGTATCCACCTGTAAACATGAAGGCTGAAGCTAAAACCCCCTCCAAACATGAAGGGGCATGTTCAATATATAGCTCAGGCTAAATTTCATCTGAAACCTCTGTGTTTTTTTAGGGTTAAACCCACTAAGCTGTACTGATCCACAATAAACTGTTTTGAATGCTCCAGACAAGGTGGGTGGATTGAGAAAGACCAGGAGCGATCTTTGGGAAAAAAAATTGGAATTCAGACATTTGTTTTTTACTCGTTATCACTATTTTTCTCTTTTCTCTAATAGAACTCTGTGTTTTTCTGCTTTGCAATTTCAGTGTTAACGTTTCAAAGGCATGTCTACAAATTTCAAACACTCGGAAAGAGAAAAACACTTTTCATTGATGTGATATTGAGATAGTGAGATGGTGAAGATCTGTGATAGAATTTCAATCATTTTGATGGCCTAACAAGTAGCCGTCGGGCACCCAGAGCAGTTCTGTTATTAATTTTTTGGTTATGTCTTCTTTTCATCTCTGTGACCCTGTGAGGTTTAATTAAAGTTCGCTAAAAATACCGGGAAGCTTGTGTATGTTTCCTGCATAAGAAAAACAGACCTAGATGATTGCTATCATTTTATCTTTTTACTTTAATACAATTACACACACACAAACACACACACACACACACACACACACATATATATATATATATATATATATATATATATATATATATACACAGTATTTATTTATTTTATTTATCTTATTTAACCCTCTTATTATCTTCAGGGTCTTTTTAACCCGCAAATGACTTTTGGTCATTTTTTTACAAAATGTTCTCAAATGGTATGAAACTTACTAGGACTCTTAACACTGTCTAGATCTACCACAAAAAAAAACAAAAAAAACATTGGAATGATATCTGTTTTTATGTTAGCATGAAAAAAAATGCAGACACTTGTTATCTTCGGGGTCCCTGGAGACCCCACATAGTAAATATACAAAATGCATCATCAAAATCAGAAACAACGAAGAAACAACGCAGATCACATAGACAGAAATAAAGTGGCACACTTCCAACAGTGCAAAAAACAAACAAAAAAAATGCCAAAATGCTATACTATGCATACTGAATGCAGTGCACTGACACATAAACACCTTCCACTGTAAACAAGACTGTATTAGATGAACCACAATTATTGTTCCTATTTGTTCGTTTTTTATTTATTTTTAATTGTGATTTTATAATATTTAGATATGAATCCATCTGGAAAAACTTGTGAAAAGATATATAGTTTGTTAGTGACATAGCAAATAGCTTATAGTGGAGGTGTATGGCCATCTAATAGTTAAAGTGTTTTTTTTTTTTAATGTTTATCTTACATTAAATGTAAAATTATCCATGTTATCTGTAAAATTAGAAATCTGGGTCCTTTATAAAGTGAATTTTACAAACAGTAACTGGGTCCTTTATAAAGTGCTGTTTTTTTTTGTTTTTGTTTTTTCGTAAAAAGCCTATTTAAATAAATATTTATTTATTTATATAAATTTAAAAGATATCTAAAATCCTCCAAAAACTGCACACATGTTGAGTAAAAACATTTATAAACAGAGTAAAATACATTTGTACATTATATATATATATATATATATATATATATATATATATTAAATGTTACTGTCTGGGGTCCCTGGAGACGCCAAAGATAATGAGTGTTGCCACAAATCAAGATAATAGAAGGGTAATGTTAATTGCAAAATATTAAAATCACATGTTGTGTTTGTTAACATTAGATAGTGAACTGTGAACTAACATGAAAAAATGAACAGCTGAATTTTTATTAAATAACATTAATTTAGAATAATAAATACTGTAAAAAAATAGATTGCTCATTGTTAGTTCATGTTAGTTAATACATTAACTAATGTTATCAAAGTGTTTCTGAGATTAAAAAAACATGGCGCTGAGATACTAAAAAACATTGAGAAATGATGATGAAAAATTACTTAAATTATATTTTAAATGGTTTTAATGTCATTAAATTGAAATGAAATATAATAAAAAATATATAGCAAAATAAAATGTGTTTTACGTAATTAATTTGATTTTAAACTAAAATATCAAATTAATTACATGACAAATTAAAATATGTTTAAATTATTTATATATACATTGACAGCTCAACTATCGCTAAAACATAGCTGTACCTTGCATAATAGCATATGTCTACTGTATGTGGTAACAGACTGTGGTGAAATGACTGACTGCAGGTGTGCCTGTTTAAATGAGATGCTGATTGCAATGTCATTCAGAGACAAATATTCTTATGAAATGTGTGTGTGTTCTTTGTTGCAGTACACGTGAAGGCTGGCACATGTGAGGTGATTGCAGCCCACCGCTGCTGTAACAGAAATAAGATTGAGGAGCGATCACAAACCGTTAAGTGTTCCTGCTTCCCGGGACAAGTTGCTGGAACGACAAGAGCTGCACCCTCCTGTGTGGATGGTAAAACAGATCTTCAGATAATTTCAATTCTATTCAGGCAAATGGCACGGGCTTTTAATAATAGCCTAATTCACAAATAGTGTTTGTGCTTAAAATGAATGCTGACTAAATTTAAATACTCATTGAGAGAGCTACTTCAGTGCATTAACTGGAATGTTGATGCAAAATACGCCCCATACACTCACCTAAAGGATTATTAGGAACACCACACTAATACTTTGCTGCATACCTCGGTTGTAACGAGTGGTTATTTCAGTCAAAGTTGCTCTTCTATCAGCTTGAATTAGTCGGTCCATTCTCCTCTGACCTCTAGCATCAACAAGGCATTTTCGCCCACGGGACTGCCGCATATTGGATGTTTTTCCCTTTTCACACCATTCTTTGTAAACCCTAGAAATGGTTGTGCGTGAAAATACTTAGACCGGCCTGTCTGGCACCAACAACCATGCCACGCTCAAAATTGCTTAAATCACATTTCTTTCCAATTCTTACATTCAGTTTGGAGTTCTGGAGATTGTCTTGACCAGGACCATACCCCGAAATGCATTGAAGCTACTGCCATATGATTGGTTGATTAGATAATTGCATTAATGAGAAATTGAACAGGTGTTCCTAATAATCCTTTAGGTGAGCATATGCATGATTATAAAGATGCAATTGTGCCCTGCATCATTCACTCTTTCTCCCTCATCTCTTTTCCTCACAATCTCTGCCTTTCGGTCTCTTTGTCTCCCTCAGCTCTCTGGCTGTTTCATTTAATATTGTGTCAACACTGTCCACTTGACAGAGAAATCGATCGTTATCTTATTTTGCCTGACTGTAAGCTCAGGAAAAAATAGCTCAAGTGTCTCTACACACAGCGCTCTGCGTGAGAGGAAATGTCAAATAAGCCAAGTTTCACCTCATCTCATGCTTCATTCTTTCTCTCTGAATCATCTCAAATAACTCCTCATCTGTTTGCCATTTTCTTGCTCCTGAGCTGATCCATGATCCTCTGTGTTTAAAGGGGTCATATCCTATTTTCCTTTTTTTTTATTGTATGTCTTTCCCTTGAGTCCACTTAGCTTAAGTCAAGGTACAAAAACAGTCTTAATTTATGGGGCTTTAATTTTAATGGAATTAATTACATTAATTATAATTAATTACGTCTTTGGTTGTTGTGTCACATCTTGCATTATAATTGGCACGTTTTTGAGATGATAAAAACGCATCTCAGGACCCTTGCTGTCCTTTCACATCCCATTGGAGTACTCATTCTATACTGCCTGTAAGTGTGACTTTTGTAGTAGTGTACAGTACTTGTCAGGGAGCATGATTAAATTCATTAATGGTTTTTAATTAAGTGTTCTAAGCGTGTTAACATGTTAAATCGACAGCACTAGTAATTTAGTTTTTCAGGTCAATTTTCCACCCTTTCTCCAACCCTACGAAATTAACAGGCTGCTTTTGCTATGACCTCTAATGCCCTGTTTTATGATTGGCTAATCGTTGTGCATATGAAATTAGGCAGTTACTTTGCAACGCCTACACTACATTGGGACAAATTCACAAAACAATCCACACTGAGTTGGTTCGGGACCTATACATTTGTAATGTTGAGTTTCATCAAAATGATGCAGAGGTATAGGTGCTACACCCAGCCAGGAACAGCACAACCTTTTGCCTGATTTTTTTTTTTCTCCCCCATTCCATGATATGACCCCTATATTCACTGAAAGTGACCGTGTCTTTACTGTTATGTACTAACATAAGTGGTCTTTCTCCATGTTCCATGTGATGTGTGTGTGTGTGTGTAGCATCTATAGTTGCTCAGAAGTGGTGGTGTCAGATGCAGCCGTGTGTGGATGGTGAGGAGTGTAAAGTCCTGCCCGACCTCACAGGCTGGAGCTGCAGCACAGGCAACAAGGTGAAGACCACCAAGGTTAGTATACACACACACACACACACACACACACACACTGTAGCCTACATGATACACTTCAAAACATGGACTGTCCTTTTGTCCTGAGGAGGCAGTGACTTTGAAAGCTGTCAGGGTCATTTAAACTCCAATTTCTGAATGAATAAACAGAAAACACACAAGAGATTAATTTTATTAGATACAATCTTTGACATTACAGCTTATTTCTGATCTTTTACTGCAACACTCCAGCATAAAATACATATCACACACAAATATTAGAATCAGAAGCACATACCCCCCAGGTTTTTGAGCCAAATGGATTTGAATGCAGCTTCCAGAAGACAAAAAATATATATTTTTACATTTGATAATTAAGACTTTGAAACTTACAATCACACAGGTGTGATTAGAATGTTCAATCCACACAAATTGCATTCGCCCTTTGGCTGGCGCTGAGCCAGCTCATCATATATCACAACTGTTCAGTGTTTTAACCATATAATTTTTATTTTATGTTTCTGTCTGACATTTAAATACACATAAATACTTGCAAAAAACATTCATAGTTTGGAAAGAAGACAGTACACTGATGTCTATGGATGAGCCATTAATCCTTTCAAATAGTCTAATTTGACAATGTGTTTTATTGATATTTATTGATACTTATCGGCCAAACACAACGTATTACGCTAGGTAATGGAGGACGTTAGGTTTGCAGGACTTCAAAGAAAAGCCTCTGGCTCACAAAAAGCTCTTTAAAATGCAAATGTTTGCCTTTAATTGCCTTTAAAATTTATTTCTATAAGCTACAGAATACGAGAAAGGTCGATGCAGGACTTATAGTCCTAATATTCCTAATAATTTGGAATAGCAGTAAATGCGTTAATAATGTATTATTACTCCCTCCAAGTGCCCCTTAAAATAGCAAGTGCATGACGACCCTGATTAGCACTCATAATCTATATATTTTTTTGTTACAGTGTTTTTGCATTGATTGCCCTCTCTGTGAAAAATTCGTGCAATCCTGCCTTAAAATGTGGCTAAAAGAAGGTGTTTCTCAGTATTTAAGAATATTGTCTAGGTAGGCAACTCACTAGATTTTGGAACAAAGCCTCTGTCTTTCTATCTCTCGGTGACCTAATTCTTCTTGTTGTGAACACGCTCTGTACCATACCTTAGGAGTTCATGTGGAGAGAGCCTGAAGTTTGTTGGAACTGACATCAAACACAGTAGAGCCTGATTTAGGGGGAAAAAAGAAGAACAAAACAGAGAAAGAGAGACAACCCTTTTTTTTATCCTGCCAATAAAGCTTCTTGAATCTTGACAAAGAGAGACAGAGACAAAGAAAGAGAGAGACAAGCCAAGCAACAAACACACAAACACTTATGTTATGAGTGACAGATGTGAGGTGACTGACTCAGACTCTTCTCAACAGAAAAAGTCAAAGGCAGAACAAAGCACTAAATAAAATGAAGTGACCAGAAGACATGATGTCAAGATTTATTGTGATCTTTATAGTCACTGGAGAGCAGGGTAAAACGAACTCTTGCCAAGCGGAAAATTTGAGGAAAAAATGTTTTAAATCGTTTTTACCCTAGGAATACATATATATATATACAGTATATTATGGGCAGAAATTATGGTACTCATTACATCTATTTATGGTAGATAGTTTTTTCTTCTTTTTTTTTCACTTTTTATACGTTTTTTTATACATTGCCTTAAAAAGGAGAGGCATGGTGATTTCATTTTTTTCATGGCAAACAGAATTGAAGGAGTGAGTCTGGTTTGATCAATGACTGATAAGCTATTGTGTGCCACCATACCTCTAATAACACACACAAGTGATCCATATTTCATCACAGTGAATTCATGTGAGCCTACATGTATGTGACGAACTGTACTTGAATGTGTGTGATGTTTCTTTAGATGAAGTGAAATCTTTACTTTCTAAATGAAAATAGCTACAAAATGAACAGAAGTGTATGTGTGTATGTGTGCTCTACATGTGTATGTGCTCTCTCTCTCTCTCTCTCTTTCTCTCTCTCAAACACACACACACACACACACACACACACACATTCTGCCTCTTTTTCTGTGGGTAGATTTTGGTCCTACAATGTAGACTGTTAGTAGTTCTTGAAAACAATAATCTGTGCAAAAATAAATTAATAAAAATAAAATAAATCATAAAGACGTTTGTCTCTTTTGCACAAGCAAGCACCTACAGTATGTTTTGACAAACACCCAAAGCTGAAAACCACCAAATTCATCAATTCACCAATTCATATATAGAACACATATATTGTCATTTTTTTTTTATTGAAAAAAAAAAAGAACCCAAACAAATTTTTGTACTTCAAAAATCATTTTATAAAGATTTGAGGGCATTCTCAGGTCTTTTAAAAGTAGTTACATAAATCCACACAAATACATTAATTCTCATTACAGATGCATCTGTACCTTCAACCTTCAGCACTTTAACTCTCTCCGAAATGCTTTAATATGAACTCAGTTCTCTATATTTGTATACTCAGTATTGGACCACCTGCTGGTCAAAACTTTTAATCATGATTAATAAGTGAACTTATGCACACCTGTTACGTAAAGCTAAAAGAAAGAATCAAGGGATAGAAGTGCAGGTCTGTGAAAATATAAGAGAGGATAAAATAACTAAGAGTTGCTTTGATCAATTATGGATGTTTAAAATGATTGATCAGCATGGTAACTGTTCATTCTAAGCCAGCACACTTCTCGCAACATAAAACTTGCCAAATCTGAAAGAGACACCGGGACAGAAAGAGGAAGAGTGAGAGGGTGGATCAAGTATCGGGCATTGTGCCATGGCACTCTCCTCAGTCGTCCCTCTGTGCCAACTTGAAAGGCAAGGTGCCAGGCTCTAAATGAATGAGTTTGCTGGGGCGCCAACTGTTTCACCCACTGCTCCAGTGGACCATGCCCATCAGCAGCCAGGACAACAAGTCAGCGCAGATAAATGTCAAGTATTAATGAAATCTGTACTAACAGAGATGGAGAATCAGATGACTTCCTCCTCTGTACAAAATAGGGCATTATAGTTCATAAGGATTCATATTTTGGGGTTATTGGAGTAAGGGGTGCTGGTAAACAAAGGTGCAGGTGTGTCTAATGGGCAAACCTAAATTCTTTCTCGTTCTCTATTTCAGGTGACCCGATAGTTCTATGCTCCATGGAACCATCTGACCCAACTTTCTGGGACAAAAGTGCTGAAAGTGAAGACTAACTATAGACATCATTGAGCTTCAGCTAACAGGAACACTCAGTATTAGTCATACGAAGATTATTTGAAATCAAAACGTTTGAGGAACAGACTGATCTCCAGAAATATATCCACCATAAACATTAGGACTATCCTAAAAAGTTCATGTTTCCTCCTCAATGGACCCCCTGGCCTTCCGGACGCTTGATCTTCTGGGTGTGGATCTATAGCTGCTGGAATGTATTGGCTGGGGGGTCTCGATGTACGTATGCAGTTGTTTCTTTTTTTGTTTGTTTTTGTTTTATACAAAAGATGTTTGGATCATCTACACCAGTGCAACCCAATGGAGTTTAAGCTCTTCAGCAACATACTCTCCTTCCTTGCCCTTCAGTTCTTCCCAAAGTTCCATGGTCATTCCTGCGCTACCTAGTCAGAAGATCCAATCATTCCTTGTGGAATCTTTGAAACAGCATTTAAACATGTAAAATCGACCTTGGCCTCTAATGGACTTCTGTATATTGTTTGTTTCTAAATTAAAGCTTTTCAGCCCCACAGTCTGAAATAACAGAATAGATGTACCAGTATATTCTAGAACATGTAAAAGTGTAAAAGATCAAAGTGTTATTCTCAAAACAAGCAGAATAAAGTTTATTAAGGTTATAAGGTTATCACTTTTATTATCAATGTTTTTATCCAGCCTCGTAACTGCTATTGAGTACATGTGTCAGTATTATATTCAATAATTAAAAATGTGGAAAATAATTTTTCTCCATACTCTGATTTCAGAGGCTGCAAGCTTGTGAAACCTAATGGCTTATTGTGCCACAAATAACATGATTTATTTATTCACTTCTCCTCCACTGCTACTGATACACGTGGAAATAACATAATCAGCATTATATATATATGTATCATGTTTTCTGACCTTTACGTCTGAAGACAAAACCGCAGTCACTCCAAATGCACACCCTCATGTTTCAAAAGGAACTAAAATAATTCTTTGCAGTTTAAACATTATGCTCTCTGTCTTTGCCTTTCTGACACCAAATTGCATTTTGTATTTGTCTAATCGAATGCTTGAATCTGTTCAATGCGCAATGTCGTTTACTGAGAACGTTTTTGCGCATGTTATCAAGAGATTAGAGAAATTAGCCCAAAATAAAATTCATAAATACCAACCACAATGGCAGCATAGAGAGGCATAAGGATAGATATTTGAAAGTGAAATGATGCATAGGCTGTGTATGGAGATGCATGCTGATATCATAATACATGAAATCATGAAACACACACCCACAGGCGCACGTGCACTGAAGCTCACCGCAGCAGAAAGACTGTGATTTTTAAAATTCAACAGGAACATCGTGGAATAATAATAGGCGCAGCTCACTTCTAAAGCATCTGGGATGGCTGGGCTACCTTGAATCAGTAGGAATCTGGTAGAATACAAACAGGTGAACAAAGCTGAATGCATATTGTTAGATGCACTGTCTATCTCTCACTCGCACATACCAGGAAATGACACGTCACTCAGGGATGTAGGTGTTGAGACTTGGTGCCGATTATGCAAATACAACTTGCAGATTTAATGAAGTCTGACGGCAGAGGGAAAAGGCCAGGAGAGATACCATACACACTCTGACAGCACTGACAAAAATAAAATATGAGCTATATGAATAAATAAGAAAGAAAAAAGACAAGGGGGGGGGTTACATTAACATTGGTTTCCAATAGTATAGAGGTGTTCCAAGAGTACCTGATTTTTACTGACTCTGGAGGTTACATAGTTACGCCAGTAGCTGGAGACAAGCTGCTGCAGTTAAGAACAAGTCATTGAGTCATTCAACCGAATTGTTCTCGGACAAAACAAGCAAATGTCCTTATCAGTGAGTCTTTGCATCATTCACTAAACCGATGTGTTGTTAGATAATTAGGGCCCAAGTTGAAAATGAAATGCAAGCGTGAAAATGAATTTATGAAAATGAAATTATGGCGTGAAAAGAGAAACAGGAAGTGTCTTATAACTTCTGCATACATTAACTGATCTTGATGAAACTTCAGCAGTGTGTTCGTTGTAAGATGCCGATCACATGGATGTGACTATTGTGAGTCAAAGTTATAGGGCCACCAACTGGCAGCAGGAAGTGTGTCACTTTCAAAATGCTTTGAAATCACCCTCTTATTTTTACCCAATTTGCTTCAAACTTATGTGTTTAAACTATAATGTAAACACACACCAGATGTAGACCTGTCAAAAGATTATTGATATCTTGAATACTGTTGCCATGGCAATGCATCAAACTTTAATATTCTTTTTGGATGCTTTTGAGACTCGTAGCATGCTTGAAATTGCATGAAACTCGTCAGACACATCACATTTATTAGCCAGTAGACATGTACAAAGTTTCAGAAATGGGCTTGGTTCTCAGTAGCACTACCTTTTGACAAAAGTGGGGCTGTTCGTTTTATCTACAGTGACAAATATACACTTCTGTATATTGTACTCCTCAGATTAGACAACTTTCTAATTTACAGTCATTAGCTCCGACCAACAGAAAGCCAGATATTTTGGTTTGAATGTGTTGATTTTGTTCAATTACCGAACATAAACTCTTAATTTAATAAGAGTTAATTCTTAATAATAAAAATAAATTAATGGTAGAAAACAAAACTGCAAAACTTCGCAGGAACCTTCAGTACTTTGTGGTAGTCCAGAGCGTACTCCCCTGTGAGTCACGCAGCTATATATATCTATCAGTTTTGACTTCGTTTGGAACAATTTTCATGGAACTTGAAATACTGTGTAAAACGCTGTGTAATATTAACCTATTGTTTATTGGACTGTTATACTGTAAGCAATGAACACATTTAAAGTTATTTGGTTGTTCTGAATTCAGCAGGGCTTTGATTATCTAAAGCCAAATCACATCCATGGTGATTCTTGCACTCTTGCTTTTTGAGATAGCTAAATTAATATGCTATTCGTGTTATAAATTAATTGTATTAATATAAAGGTTTTACTTTTAAAATGCAAATATTATTGAATAAATCAGCATATAATTACAAGTGCATGATAATCAAAAACATCTGTAGATTATAAATGAGCAATATCACCATCACACACACATAGCTACAAAAAGAGGCAGATGACTGCATACTAATCATGCTTTTTCTGGCTGTATCATGTAAGTGTCTCCCACTATTCTGAAGTTTAACATCAATGCCCTACATAACTGTTCGCTGATAAAAACGCATCCTTCCTCATTATTTTCATATCAGCCAGGCAGATGAACAATAATGGAGGAAAGATTAGATAGAGATTGAAAATGTTGTCTTTTGCACCAAAACACTGGTTGGGGCTTTAATGCTGTTCAACTAAATTGTGATGCATTAATATCAATTTCCCAGCACACAAGTACACACACACACCAAATTATATGTATGTATGTGTGTGAAGGAGGGAGGGAGGGAGGAAGAGAGAGATTTTGTCACATACAGTATCCTGAAGCCTTAAGCAATGTTTGAAAGGACATTCATTTTTCAAGAGTAGCGGAAATGGAAGGTTTCAGCCCAAAATCGGAAAGTGACGATAAATGTTTGTGACCTGCAGTTGGCTCTTAACATTCTTACAGAAGAGTCTTCCCTCCAGAGACCCGAGAGGGTTGTGGTGTTCAGAACAACAGAGACAAGCCAATAGGTGAATTGGGTGTATGCCACTGACAACAAGGATAAAAGAAACATCAAGTAATCCTGAGGAGAAATCTTTCTGTCTGCTTGTGGGTACAAGACCCTGTAGCATAATAATCTGAGAGGACACCAATATCTTTTTGAGAAGAGAAATGCTGCAAAGCTAAATCTAGGAGATCTTAATAATTCAACTGGCATCATGGTAACATTTATCTGACCCCTCTGTCATTCTGTTCCATATTCCACAAGACACAAACATCCCCATCAAACTAACATGTTTGTGAACATTAATTATTCATTAATAGTAGTACTAAATCTTGTACTGAGGTGGGCTGAAAGAATGTTGTTCGTTTTTTTTTTTTTTTCCTTTGGGGTCATACTTTGGTGAAAACAATATTGTGCCTTATGTTGGCTACATTGTGGGGACCGAATGGCTCCACAAGGATAGAAAACCTGAAATAACCTACATTACGAGGGCTATACAACAATCCTCACAAGGAAATTGTTGTAACAAACATACTAAATAATGTCCTAATGCAGAAAGGTTATGTGAGGGTTACATTTAAGATGAAGGGATAGAAAATATAAATAGCTCAGCATTAGAAATCAATGGAAAGTCGCATTATATAAAAAAACAACAACATTTGTTAACATTTGTTAATCGTGAACTAACAATGCGCAACAACATTTTCAAAGTATTTATCAATCAGGTTAATGTTAATTTACAGTGTTCATTGTAAATTCATGTTTGTTCAGAATACATAAATAATGTTAATTTATACATTTTGATGTTCAAATGTATTAGTATACTGTATGTTGCACATATGGTACATTTGAATAAATAGTGAGACAATTTTTTACTTACATTTCTGCTGCACTGCAGGACTGTTTTGGCCCTTGGCCAAAATATCTTTGAAATAATTGCTAAATATGTTGTAAACAGCATGGCACAGAGAATATATTTTTTTCAAATTGAGCATATGTTTATTTTAAAGATAAAGACACTATCAAACCAAAAGATATTACAAAATACATTTCCAATCTTAAAATACATAAAAAATACATAAGAAAAAATACTTTAAAATTGAATTACTGTGTAATCTCTCTCTAAATCCTTCTAATATTTGATTATATTTTGTTATTCACAATACATGCTATTTCCTCTTATTTTATGCTCACATTATTATTTACAATTTTTCATCAATTTAATACTTTTAACCCGTTTAATCCCATTTTTTTTTCTTGCAATTTGAGTACATGCATTTTACTCCTTTGACCTCTTGATAACTAACAAAATTAAACGCAACACTTTTGTTTTTGCTCCCATTTTTTATGAGCTGAACTCAAAGATCTAAGACTTTCTATGTACACAAAAGGCATTTCTCTCAAATAAAAATCTGTTTTTTTGAAAAATATGTCTAAATCTGTGTAAGTGAGCACTTCTCCTTTGCCGAGATAATCCATCCACCTCACAGGTGTGGCATACATTCAGTGTAAGCATAACAGCTAATACTTGTGTTTTTAATTGAAGCACTGTGTTAGTAACAATTGTGACCGTTAACAAATTTACACTCCGTACGAGCGAAATATATATGCAGGAGTATAATTCTCAAAATATATCAGTAGTAGACCCTTTAAAGAATATATGTACAAAATATAGTAGTTTTGTTAATTAAGATGTTTTACATACTACATTTTGTAGTAGTGTGAGGAAGACATCTTCTTCTACCATAGATGTGCAAGCAGGAAGTAAACTGAAAGTGATCTGGTCATGTGATCATTCACACTAGTCACAATATATATATATATATATATAGTGAGGGTAATCCATGCTGAGAATGTTGTTGATTCAGTGACAGACATAAAATATTAACAGCACAAGAGGCTTAAAATGGCAAGTCTAAAATAAACAGCCTCTATCTGAGTCACATCTACGGGTTTATAGGCCAGACTGCTGCTAGCACACATGAAGC